TACTTCAATCAACAAACAATAGCATATTTTTCATATATCACATTTTTTTAGAACTATTGTAGAATAGTATGAGGTTCGCAACGCGACCTAAGGTCTATTGTGCCCTCTCCTCCATCACATGTATTCCCAAAGTCCCAGCCCCTGACAAACTCCTGAAACCTCCTGGGTGCTATAATAATATGATCCCAGTCCACAAAAATTGAACCGAGGGCCTTGAGCCTGCGTCTACATTGTTGTGCAATCTAGTATCAGGTATTCTGGTGTTTTGGGCTCCATGTTGGACAAATGTTTCTTGAGCCTGCAGTGCTCAGTGTAGAGCCCGACAAGGAGACGCAATTTGTCTCTGGGGAGGATTATCATAGCTCTGAACCGCGCTAGGTTGTACCCTCACAGTAGCACCTTAACATGGCGCATACCTGTTGCTTGCTGCCAGTGACTTTCTCTGCCCACTCTCTCCTCCTTGTGTAGCAGCTCCTTTATTGTGTGGGACCCAACCGCGTGTACCACCGAATAGTGCTGCCTCTCAACAGTAGGAGGCTGTCGTCTCTTGGAAGAAGGGCCAGTGGCGTATTTTAGTCTAAGACCTTCATTTGTTGAGACGAGACTAACTTCCCTTCTCCATACGCCTCTGCTGTCATGAGCAGCATAGTATGCTTTGCAATCTGTTTAATTACTAAATGGAGCGGTGTGAGTTCTAGCATGACCTCAAGTGCTGTGATGGGGCAAGTGCGCAAGTCTTTGCAGCTTCGATAGTTGAAAACCGATCGAAGTCTGCGATGCTTTTGATGCCCAGACCACCGCTCCATATATAACGATAGGCCTCACGATCATGGTCTACAGCCATCCGATAATACTTGGGTTGCCGCCCCGGGATCTGCCGGCCAGGCGTCTGCACATCATGAGTTGGAACTATATCGCAGAGAGTGTTCTTAAATTTTCCTCTTGCCATCATCTACTACGAGGATCCATAGAAGAAGGGACAGTACCCCACACTGAGAGCAACCTCTCGGAGTACCAAAACGTATCTTGCTTTCCCCCCACAGTAGTGTCTGCAAACCTAGTATGCAATACAGCCTTTATCCATCTGCATATAGGAGCTTCCACGTTCCTTTTCTCCAGTGCTCTGATCATGCTTGCGTGGGACGCATTATAAAAAGCACCTTCAGTGTCTCATTTTTCTCCAGCGAGTGATGGATTTCAGCCGTTAGTTGGTTCCGAGCAGTGTAAGTAGACCTACCTGCTCTGTACGCGTGCTCATTTGCATGTAGGGGTGCGACTTTCAGCGCCTTCGATCTTATGTGGTTGTCTACAATATTTTCAATACCTTTTAGCATGAAGGAGGTAAGACTAATAGGCCTGAAGGATTTGAGATTACCCTTGTTATTCTCCACGGTGATGGGATGTACGACATCGCAAGGTATCTTTCATCAGCACAACAAGGTACGATAATAGAGCTGCAGAAGTGCTGCGAAGATGCCGACAGCTCTTGGTGACTTATACTTATGTTTAACTCTAAAGTCTCTCTAAATACATCCCAGTATGTGTTTCTAGGAATACGAGCTGGCGTCGCACCCCAATATAAGAAGTGAAATACAGAAGAAATTAATATCGTTCATAACCAGATTACCTTGCTTGTTCTTGTATTGGGGCCCCTGACCTCTACCCTGTAGATCCACTGCTCCTGGATTAATAGCATGCCCAGGTTATCCGAGAGGAACCTACTCGCGATAACAGCCGAGGCTACCATCACATGGTGTAGGTTCCCCTGGGCAACTTTTGTTTGGGCGGTGGCAGTCACAGAATTGGTTCCAAGAGGGACAGATCCTCGCCATCGCTGTCCTCGTTCTTGCCGTGGTCCTGACCTTTCAGCCCTTCTAGGAGCTCCTGTGTGGAGGGTAGCTCCCCTTCACTCTCCGTAGCGCCCCTGCACGACAACGTCCGATGTGTTTTACGTGAGTACCTGCCATCGACGGCCTTACCTCACGGTGCTCCAAAGCACAACGTATCAAAACAATGCGTTGATAAGCGCCCCAAATAATACGAGCTTTTTGCAAGTATTAATTTGGTTACCAGTGGCCAGTGTATAGGGGCCCACCAACCATCTTGGTAAGATTCGAGGCCGACCTAAAACCTCTTCCGTTTCGGGTACGGAACCCAGTTGCTTGTGCAACTTCTTTTTTCAAACTGAAATTCAGTTCTTCCAGCATTTAGGTTTAAACCACAGCCACCATGATACTTCCCAAAGGGCCGGACCCAATGAGCAGATTGAACCGAAGTCCAAGGGCATTCTGCTCCCCGTGGTACCAGAGTTGAGTCTCCGGTAAGACTGTGTAGCCGAAACTACTGCCAGTTCAGCTACCCATTACTCAATAACTGGTGACATTTGTCGTTTGAACTTCAAATGTCTTTTTATTTGGAATCTCATTTAAAGTCTATAATATCAGTTCAAGCTGAGTATTATAGCACTATTTCTGACATCATTTACTATTCTGATATTTCTGGGCAAAATAAAATAACAGTCATAGTCCATTTGGCTTTTAGGCGCCTTTTAAGACTCATCATCAATGATGATGTTGAGCCTCCATCCGATGTCCTCAATGCTGCTATCGACAACCCTCCAAGCCGAGGTACTGAGCCCTTATTTTGATTTCGTATGAGACCAAGCGCAAACTCGTAGGGTTTTCCTGTGCTCCTGGGAAGAAACACCGTCAAGCTGTGCATAGGCAGTATATTTTCACCCCTCTTCGCCCGTAAGACCCGGCCTCTCCATCCATCTAGCTTCGGAGCGATCTTCGCGAGCCAGGTGGCCGCCTTTTCGTCCTCGCAGTCGACTAGCAGCATTTTTGATCTGAAGTAGACACCGGTGAACCCACACCCATTATATACCTCATCCATGATGCTGTCTTACAACGCAGTAAGTTCTTTCGACCCCAAAACCCCCGCAGGGTACTTGGGAGGCAGCACCGCCCTCCGTATGCCTTTAAGGGTTTCCGAATATTTTCCTTGGCCCTCAACAGGCCCAGCTTGAGGAGGTTGTTGTGGGGTCCGCAACAGCATTACCTGCATCCGTCGCAGTAGACGCACGAATGAGCTTCCAGGAAGCTGAACTTGCGCCTATCTCCTGTACCACTCTTACCTGCAAAGTAGTAGTCTGATGTCATTGTCGTTTTTGGTATTTGTTTATTTGCGCTCACGATGGTTCGTACGACCCTTGGCTCAACAAGGTGAGCTTCCGGGTCTAGTCAGTTTTAGGGGAAACGTTAAGGTCCGCCACGCCAGAGCCCCTTGACGCGGTAAGGTCACCAGTTACTTCCCAAGGCGGCCCGGTGTTGGGAAAACTCCGTTAAATACAGTCGAATTTACCTCCTGGCTGCAAATCATCCAATGGGCCCGGGAATCGCATAACACCCTAGATTAGGAGGTTGCAGCTCTTGACAACCTGTCTGAGGAGTGCTGTACGGAACCCCTCACACCAGTTGAGAGGGCCTGGAAGTCGTTGCGATTAAGCCCCTGCCTTTATACTGAGGTTGTAGTATTGGATTAGTCATCAAATCAGAGGTGATTTTTTAGACTATCATTAACACATCAAACTGTAACATTTTAGCAGCTTTTTTTTGTTGTCCGCGCATATCATTTGCATATAAGGGATGGAAACATTTAATTAAGAATCAATTCTCGATTTTATATTATGGGGTCCTATGAATCGATGAGTCGAGCACAAGAATTGATTCTTTCGATTTCAATCGATTCTAATTTAAAAGATTAATAATTTTTATAGTTAATAAATTTCTTTATAAAATCGCATTGAAAAAAAAATTATATTTAATTGTGAATATATAATTAATAAGTACTGGATATAAAAAAATATATTTTTATATGACTTTCTATCACACGGTTTTCGATGATATTGTAACGGATTTCTCGATAAATCGTCTACCTGTAACTCACTCTTGAGTTCGATCACTGGATTGTTAAATAAAAGTCCCAATTTAATGGCTACACACTAATCTTTATTTCTAATTCCAACAACTTAACACTTATTGCTCGTTATTCGAGCTTACAACTTCTTGCTTATAGCTTAATTGCTCTTATCACGACAACACTCTAACTAGTAAATCTGTAACAAAACATTGCTTCTAGAACATTCTGGCAACTACGAATTCGCTAACTAGCTGCTTCTGGCAGTTTATCGTTGATTCGATTTTGTTCTATCATCCGTGTTCGTCACAATTTATAAGGATAAATAAAACTTGAAAGTGCCGTTTCACACAGGGACTCAAAAGAGTCTCAAACCAGTTTATTGTGGGCGAGGGGACGACGAGGAAAGACGAAGGGACCGTGCCACTTGTGTTCGGGTGGCACGCTTTGTGTTCTTGTTCGTAACAGCTCGCTGCTACCTCTTTCAGCATTCCTCTTCACTTTCAAATTCTTTGAATGGTTGCAAGAGCGCTCGGTTTCAAATGAATTCGATCGCAAATTTGAGTTCTGTTATCTATTTTTGTATGTTATTTGCAAATATGTATGCATAGAACAATAGAAATATTATGACAAATTGTAAATCAGGAGAAAATTAAGATATAGATTATGGAGTAAAGAAATTATGAATGTTTAATGCGGAGTAATGAAATTATGAATTTTTAATAATTAAAGATTAGGAAATTTCTGTTATAAATTTGGCCTTGAAAATATTAGTAGCAGATATTCAATACATTCTTGTGGATTAGGGAATTCCCGTCTTTAGTATTTCTTTGAAACTATTTAGCGGGTAGGTACTTGTATTATGCATATTGTTCTACCATATTCATGGTAATTCATTGCAAGCTAAATGTGTGACCATCATCTCAACATACAAATGAAATACACAGCACGCAGTGTTGCGCAGTCGAACCGCACAAATATTAACGAAAATTTTGTGAAAAGGAATGCAGAAAAACTAGACTCGAGTTGCTGGACTCTTTTTGACCGTGTGAATGCACAGAGCGACACCAAAAGAAAATTTGAAAAAAATGAGACTCTTTTGAATCCCAATGTGAATTGGCACAAACTAGCCGTAAAATCAAATGTCAAAAATCGATTCTTAATCGATTTCGGAGAGTAAAGGTCGACTCCGGAAAGTGTATTATTTTATGAGTTAAATCGATTATCGTGTAGAATCTGAATCAAGTTTGCCATTCCTATTGCATATGTGCATACTTATGTTAGGATTGTTTTCGTAGATCCTACGTCTATTTATGAATATTAAAATTTGCTAAAATCGTGTGCATACAATCTATTAAAAAAACTTTTAAGTATTTAGTACGTTCGTGATATAATATAGTGATATAAAGTATTCTCCGTCTGAAAATAAAAATATTTAAATATGGCCATAATGCCCAATCAGCAGGTGCCAACTCGATTACGATTCGGCTAGTAAATTGTATTCTGGGACTTTCTAACTTTAAACATTATTATCTAAACATTTTGAAATTGTATCTAATTAAATTTAAATTAATACATTTTTAATTAAATGTGTCCCATAAATCTGAGACGTTTTTGTGGGGAGTGGCGTATCTGGATACGACCACTTCTAATCGTCACGTACTGTATTTTTTTAATTATCGTGGTCCCTCTGCTTATTGTAAATTTTGTTAAGGATAACTACAAACGCACTGACCGGCTTATACTTATTGGTGGTCTATTTGTTTTATCAGCGGTACCAATTTCTATTTGGCACATTATTCAACATGTCATACACTTTACAAAACCGATTTTACAGAAGCACATTATTAGAATTTTATGGATGGTTCCAATATATGCCCTCAATGCGGTAAGCATACATATATATTTGATTTCCATTATTATTTGTTTTACTATTTTGCAGTGGATAGGTTTGTTTTTTCCAAAACATTCCATATACGTAGACTCTCTTCGTGAATGCTACGAAGCCTATGTGATTTACAACTTTATGGTCTACCTATTACACTATCTCAATTTGGGTATGGACCTAGAAGCAACAATGCAGTATAAACCTCAAGTTTATCATTTCTTCCCACTTTGTTGTATGCGACCTTGGGTAATGGGTCGCGAGTTTATACATAATTGCAAACATGGAATTCTTCAATACACCGTTGTTCGGCCCATTACCGCGTTTATTTCTGTGTAAGTTTAGTAAATTAAGAAATAATTGATATTGTTTAATTTTATGCTTTCTTATATATATGCGTGGGTATAAACAGATATGAACATTGATAATGCATACCAACAATATAACCAGCTAATTGTATTTTAGAAATAAGAATAATTAGAAATTTAATATAATAAATTTTCCTAGTATTTGCGAGATATGTGGTGTCTATGGAGAAGGCACGTTTGCTGGAAATATGGCATTTCCCTACATCGTGGTGATCAACAACATTTCACAGTTTGTTGCTATGTATTGCTTAGTACTCTTTTACAGAGCAAATAAAGTAAGTTATATAAATTTAATTGATCTAAATATTTGCATGAAAATGATTTTTCCATATATAAAATTTTTTACAGGAAGACTTGAAACCAATGAAACCGATACCCAAGTTCCTTTGTATCAAAGCGGTGGTTTTCTTCTCGTTTTTGTAAGTTCTTTGTTTACTCAATTTTACTTATTTAAAAAAACTTTTTTCTTTATAGCCAAGGTGTAATATTATTTTTATTAGGATACTATCAACTTTTACAGAAAATAATCACACTTGGAGACGATACGAATTTGGCGTCAATGCTGCAGGTATGCATATTATAAGAATGTTATATACTGAGGTATTAAATAAAATTAAAATTAGTCTTCTCATATGTCAATTTCGCATATTATTTTAAAATGGGAGAAATAATTAGAAATTGTTTGTTGTTTGTACAAAAACCTGCCAAGGTCATTACTAAATTTGAATTAACCATTTACAGACTTGTTGTGCTCCCAAAGGCAACAACTACAAACTATTTAAAATAAACGAAATAATTATGGATTTCTAATAAAAGGAAATACGAACGTTACAAGACTATTGAAATAATAATTTTAAAAATATACTCTGGCACAGAGTGAACGCGTGTGTGTTTATGCGCTTGTTATTTTGTTACTAAAACAAAAACAAAAAACCTTAACTTCGGTTGCTTCAATGCTATGCGTTCACAAATATAAAATTCTCATTACAAGAACTAAGAACTTGATTTGATCGGTTAGTTTATATAGCAGCTATAAACTATAGTGAGCCGATCTAACCAATTTCTTAGAAGATTATACCTTTGCCTTGGACAATAATCAATGCCAATTTTCATAAAACCATCTTGTCCAACACAAAAGTTTTCCATACAAGTACGGGATTGTGATCGATCTGTTTGTATGACAGCTATATATATGCTATGTTGGTTAGACCTAAACAATGTTAAGTTAATTTTTGACAGCTGTTTTGCTTTCTAGGCGTTTTGGTTTGTCTTCGAGTTTTGCTTACTCAAAAAAAAGGTATCAAAGAATCATACCAATACTCGAGTATGTGCAGTTATCTGGTCACCATACACTGACACATTCATCCACAGAATTGAGGTTCAAAACAAATTCTGCAAGTCGTCATTCCATCTATGGAAAGGGCCGTAAAAACTCTCCTCCGATGACAATCGCATTTGCCTAATTGTTTGATGTTAGGTAACTTAACGATTGTCAGGCAGTTTTAATTTTCCCTTTCTGAACTCTCACTTAGGTATCATTACCTAATAAAAATGGTGAACACTGGCCATTGTAAGCTGAAGAAGCACTTATGTAACCTGGATCTGGACACTTGTGCCAACTGCCGGTTCTGCGATATGGAGCCGGAAACTCTAAAACACCTGTTGATAGACTGCACAGCAGTCTGCAGACGCAAAATCTAGGCCCTTGGATCCATGTTTCCGAATAGCGATAACATCGCCTCTATAACACTTAGCAATATATTGGAATTCATCAATGCGCTGGGGCTAAGTGAGTCACCTAGGAAAGGGCACAATAGTCCTTAGGTCAGGGTACATACCTCATTTCTTATCTATATATTTACCACATAATATGATTTCTAACCTTGTGTACTGTTTTCACACCAACATCGACTTCTATGGTGGTACATATCAATCTTTCATCAAGATATCCAAAAACAAACTATTTTTCTATCGTTAACTTATCTATAATTATTTTTCCTAAGTTATTTACAATTCCTTCTTTTTTTTACTTCCTATGTATGATGTACATATATAACCGATTGGTGTTTCTTTTCTAATAAATAAATAAATTTAAAATGATAAGTAAACTAATAAAAAAATAAAATTAGCAAAGAGAAAATACCTCGAAGGTCCCTGGCATGCTACATTCTTACCAAAAATATTGTACAAATATTCTGACAGTTTACACAATTTAATATCATTCATTGATACACTATTTGAAAACTATCTGAATTATGAATCTCTTAGAAGTTACCCAACATTTATTACATATAATATTACAGTGTTATACTCATACTGTTAACGATGCTATAAACATAACTGACTCTTTCCATAATAAAAGATTTTATTTATAATGTTTTAACAGCGTAAGCTCCATTTCGCCATGTGAGAATAATCAAAAATTTATTTTTTATTTTAGAATTTTCTCATTTGTATTGAAATGTTCATCGCCGCAGTAGCCCATATTTACAGTTTCCCGCACTATCCGTTTCATATCAATGCGCCTCAATATTGGAATAATCCAAATCATAACTGGTGCCGAGCGTTCCTCTCAATGATAGATATATCGGATATGCAGCAAGATGTAACGGAGCATCTAGGAGTAGTAAGCAGTTCGATTAGTCGACACTTTCAAGGTCGGAGCACATATCAACCTCTGTCTCGTGGACCCCGCCGTTCCAGTAGTGAAACGGAATATCTGATGAGCAAGCGAGAAGATGGTGATAGTACTACAGACGGTATAGTTAGTGACATGCCCACAACGAGCTCTATACTCGGCGATGTAATGATTGTTGGCGGAGGTGGCGCTGTTGTACAAAAAGGTAATAGAAAAAAATATAATACGAATTTTGCTAGTAAACCATTGGTTAAAGCCAATCGCTACGGAGCTACTGATAATCTTTTATTACCTGTTGGCAAGGTCGCACTAACCACTGATTCTACATCTCACATCCACTTAGCAGGCAACCGTGCAGCGCACAACACATCAACTAAAACGCCGACAGCCACCAACGTAGCAACCGCTGAAACGCATTCCAATTTCGGTATAAATATACAAAAACGGGAAGTGCACACACGAGAATACTCACCACAGCAACTATATGGGGCGCCTGTACCCAGTGGCAACAGTTTCTTGCAAGCACGAAATATAGGTGCGCATTCCGACAGCGTTCCCGAGGCAGATGATGATTTTGTCTCATTAATTGGGACTGGTAGATGACATCGTAATCTTGAATGTAATAACCACAGTCAGAATATAAATACATCAGCGGTCGAATCGACATCAATGTCTGTATCGGCTTCGGTGAATTTTTCTAGTAGTCTTAAACTGTCGACAGGTGAGAGCGGCAGTTGTAGTTCCCCTGATTGGCTTAGTACGTCGCACTCTGAAGATAACAACGACAATGACAGCTACGACCACCCTGATGACAACAACTTAAAATCGAACGATGCTAATATTCGTGCTATTCGGCAAATGAGTGACTTAGGGGGGGATAACATTGTTGGTAGTGCAAATATTGCGTATTATGCTGAGCAGCATGATTGCATTGAAATTTCACCAAACCACGTAGCCATGACACGATCACGACAAAGACCTACAAACAACCAACACATCACATAAATTTCGCGTCGACGATACTACACAGATTTTAATTTCTTGCTTAATTTTATGTTAGTAGTATTATATACCATTTATATTGTTAACACTGCAGTCACGATGCAAAGTAACCAATTATGATTAGTATACTTCTTCTTTTTAGTTTGTGAACTTGCATATTTTTATTTGTTTACAATTTGCATATAATTGCCCGCTAGCCGAGTACAAGCCGTTTTAAACCAATTTAAACAGTATATTGCGAATTAATACTTTTTAAATGCATTATAATAACAACAACAGTAATCTGTAGCGTAATAATGTGGCCTTTTTATATGAAAATCGTACCGAAATTAAAGATTTATTACAAAAAGCCTGGGGTATTAAATTCTTTATTAAAAGTAAACTGCTTACAAAGTGGATTTATTTTACTTTTTCGATCATTAAGTTTTTTTATCTCTGAACAGGGTATATTAAGTTAGCCACGAAGTTTGCAACACCCAGAAGGAAACGTCGGAGACCCTATAAAAAATATATATAAATGATCAGCATGATGAGCTGAGTTGATTTAGCCATGTCCGTCTATCCGTCCGTCCGTCTGTATATATGCAAACTAGTCCCTCAGTTTTTGAGCTATCAATCTGAAATTTTGTACCTGCCCTTTTCTCACTAAGAAGCTGTTCATTTGTCGGAACGGCCGATATCGGACCACTATAGCATATAGTTGCCATACAAACTGAACAGTCGGAAGCAAGTCCTTGTATGGGAAACTTTTTTATTTGACGTAATATCTTTACGAAATTTGGCATGAGTTATTTTTTAAGGTAACAATGTAATTCCCGAAGAAATTGTTTTGATCGGACGACTATAACATATAGCTGCCATACAAACTGAACCATCGGAATCAAGTGCTTGTATGGAAAACTCTTTCATTTGACGAGGTATCTTTCCGAAATTTGGCATGGATTATTATTTAAGGCAGCAATGGAATCTCCGAAGAAATTGTATAGATCGGATGTACAGACTGAACGATCGGAATCAAGTGCTTGTATGGAAAACTTTTACATTTGACGAGGTATCTTGATAAAATTTGGCAAGAATATAATCTCTGCAATAATTGTTTAGATCGGATTGCTATGTCTTACAGCTATTATATAAACTGAACGATCGGTGTAAAGTGCCTGCATGGAAAAAAATTTTATTTTTTATTGCCGATTCACGAAATTAGATCTGAATCAAGATATTGTAAGGAACCTTTGTATCTGTGAATGGTATTATAGTTTCGGTGCAACCGAAGTTAACGTTTTTTCTTGGTTTTTTTTTTTTGTTAGACCAGGTGAAATCGTCACTTTGTCGTTGACTGCTGGTAATAATCAAAGAATTCTATTATAACTAAAATTTAGTGGATACGTCAGGGGATCATTAATAATTCACGTTCGAATATAATAAAAAACATGAATACAACATTAGGAATGGGTTAAAATACGTATGTATTTTGTTAATCTGCGCTGGCACACGATATGCATGTGTAGATATAAATCATATATATATATACATTTTCACATTCTAAATCAAAAGTCGAATAATGTAGAAAAAAAGTTTGTAAATTCAGTGTAGTTAATTAGAAAACAAATATGAAATATATGCAGTACACTTAAAAGGGTTATAAATAATATAGTCTTATAGCAAAATAGTAAAGTGCTGAGTTACGAAATTAAATTATAAAATATTATACAACAATTCTCTTAATTCCGTGTATTTATATGGAAATCATAAATGAAAAATAGTCGCATTAAAATTTCTGCTGATATTTATAAATAAACCAAGTTCACATAATGAAACAAGCTAAATCAACACAATGCAAAAGAAAGTTCAGAATAGTAAAAGGGATAAAGTGTTACTTGTTTTTTGTGCCTGCAAAAAAATTCTGACTTAAATTTATTTTGTTGTCATAGTATGAAACCTTTAATATTATTTACCCTGAATATTTTTTTATCCTTTTATTTTTATGATTATTATTATTATTATTACAATTAACAATAAAATGGACGTTTGAGTTCAAAAATTGTTAAAATATTATAAAATTAAGTACATATTTGGACTAATAATGCAAAGACACTAATTTACAAAAGACCTTTTGGACGTACCAATTGAAGATACATATATATATATCTGTCGTCTATTGGAAATAAAAAAATTTCAACAATTTACAAATTAAGGTACAGCCCAAATGACTGTCCACCGAGTATATACATATATATAAGTACTCATACTAAAACATTTTTAACGACAAACTAAATATAAACCGAAATATCGTCATATCGTTACACTTAAAATTATTACACTGGAATTATTGACTGGTCGAGGCATGTCTTTTCTACTTTAAGGTCTTCAATTACCCAAACAGTATAAGTATGCGTAACAAAAATGATTGGCTATGTACCCGTATAGATGTTGATTATAACTATTGCTAACGCCAGTGGCTAAAGGCACGAAAAATTACGCATACATCAACAAAAGGTGTATATTTATCAATTATTGTAATTTGTGCGACCGCCTAGCTCTAATAGGTAGCGATCAGGATGATCCATCCAATCAGCTGCAGTTAATTTTACAGTCCTTTGCCGTTCAGCTTCCTTGATTTGCCATTTCTTAATATCCAATTGAACATCACGTGATGCCTTGTCACCACAGCCCCATACCTGTTGAGAAATTTATTAAAAGAGAGAATAAGATACTTTGGTTTGGTAATTTAGAGTGCATGTACACTCATTGCTTCTTCTTTCTGCTTATATATAAACTAAATTTGCTAATTTTGTAGACGTCACACCTGCATTCATACGTATATTTTATACATACCAATATATTATATATGCACGGCAGGTGTGTCATGTTTACTATAGCTTTGGATGCATTGTACACATGCATATTAACCCAAAAAGCTGTTGTAGCTACTCTTATAGGTATTATCCCGTTACACTGAATTTCCGTTCCACCTTTGCCTGCATTTATTGTATTTTATTCACATGTATAAATTAAGTAAAATAAAATAATTATGCTTTATCAACTATAATATAACTGAAATATTTTACTTAAATTTCATATATTTTGGGCTTGTTTGAACTAAAAGCTTTCAGATTATGATAAAAATACTGAATAAAGGGAACATAAATGAAAATATATAAATATATTGTATTTTTTAGTTCAGGGAAGCAATTGAGTTATTGTAACTTTAATAAAAATCAGCATTTAAATTTATTCCAAAGTTTTTACACTAAGGTGAATGGTATGTTGGACATACTTGATGTTGTTATTCATCTAAATCTCGTTTATTATTTTAAGTAAGCTCATAATTTTATACTGACCTCAATTGCAGTTAGCACAGCAGCTAATCCTTTGCAATCCACATTTTCGAAGTGTTCGTCCACAGAGATAACAGGTTTACGTGGATCTGAACCAGCTCGAAACCCCTTTGGATACCCACGTATGCTTGTATTTAAGTACAAAATGTTGGGCTTTTTCTCTAATATCACAAATCTTAAATAAAAAAATATTTACAATTTCCAATAGGTGTATTTTCAAATAAATAAAATAAATACCCACTTTGGAAAAAGTTGAATTATACAACTGCCTTCGCCTCCTGTATATAAATGAGTTTCTTTCCATTCACTTGGCGCAGCAATGCAGTATGTCTGGTCGTCCTTGGTATGTATCAATACAAGCGTTGGGCCGCGATAACCAAGCACGTGATGCAAAAAGCGATTAGCGCCTAAACCGTGTTCATTTGAGTCATACAGCAAAGTCCAATGTGAGGGCATCATAGAAAGTTTCTCTTTAAAGATTTGAGCTGCAGATGATTTATTTGAACTTGGTGATTGTATCGTCTGTGGCTTAGAAAAAAGGGGAGGTAGTCCACCAGCCAATAACCATGCTTGAGATAACGGCATTAAAGATTCAAAGGTCATGACACCAGCATCTGGGAATGGATTTCGTTGTTCTAAAACTGGAGTTTGAAGTTCAATTCCGCATGATTGAGTTTGTTGTTCGAGACCTCTATATGAAGTTGATAATGTGTGTAAACAATATTTGTGCACCAACAATACTAAACGAATAAGGTTCTGTTCAAACCAACGACAAACAAAACCCACACTCAAACTGTCGTTGCTAAAAAATATTGATTTAGTCACCGAACCAAATGTACGGTTAATCTAAAATTATAAATATCCATTAAATAAAAATGATTGAATTTTGAAGGTGAAAGCTTGAGAGTTACATACTGCTGGACAGAGAACTGCGTTGCCAGAATGTTGCATCGCTATTGTGTAGCAAATAAAAAGCAAACGTGTAACACCCTCCTTCGTAATGAAGTCTGGATTGTCTTCTTCAGCGTACATTTTTATATAACACTCTAAAATTTTTCCATCATCCATTATACCAAGAAAACGTTCACATTGTTGACGGAATGCCACTGTGCCTAAATAAGCTGTTCTAGCTTTAGATGCTGTATGCATTAGGCGAAATAATCTTTTGCCTAAATCGGCATATTGAGGAAAAACTTGTGACTGTAAAAAGTGACACAATGTCTAATGTCACACACATTGTAATAAGGAAACAAAATATCATTACTAACCACAAACACGTCTGAAACAATGCCGTTGACACCGTGCTTGGCAGACTTTCCTTTAAGAATTTCGGATAACTTTTCTATAGGCACAAGCTGGGTTAAGTACTTCTCCGTAACATCCGCACCTGATGCAGATCTACTCATGGATCGTTCTGCCTTTAACATAGCATTATTATTAGCAAATGAATTTCCATCTCCTTTAGGAATAGTTTGGGTGGATTTCGGGGGTTTTTCTTTAGCACCACCTGACCCTCCATTCGGCGCATCGCTTCCGGAGTCACTCCTGGAATTTGAATTTCCCATTGGTTTGTATTTATATTTGCTACTGCAAATATTCACGTTTGGGAAATGTATTGTAGAAAGTGCGTACTTCTTTATCAAAAACAAGAAAGTTTGTCGATTATACGAAAACCAAAACGTCTATCACAACACCATCAATTCAAATGGCAAATTTTTCAATCTTATCTTGTATTTCTTTTTATAAGTTTGACATCAGCTGTCATCAGAGTACGTATATTATATTATGATATACGTTCTCTGTATTATATTATGATATACGTTCTCTGTCATTGGTCATCGAAATTTCAAGGTTGATTTTGTTTGTTCGCAATTTAGGTTTGCGCAAATTATAAATTTGTTGTTATTTTAAAATACCGTCATCCGAATTCGGGGTTACAATGGGTATGAGCAGAGAATGTTAATAAATAGAGAAGGCGCAAATGTTAGCTGTGCTAAAATGTAAACCATTAAAAGGGAACATCGAAAATGCGCAAATTCGAAAGTTCAATTACACCACATCAAAAAGGTACCCCTCATGATAATCGAACCCAACAAACTACACCACTTTAGGAATTGTCACCACCTTATAAAGGAACGACTAATATATGTATGCGCAGATGTCCTTTGACATGCGTGTTAGGGAAAATTAGAATAACAAAAAGAAATAATAGATTTTGAAGAACATTTATATAATGAGGAAAAACTGAAAATTAAATTAAATAAATTTAATACAAAAGGTTTATAAAAATTGAAAAAGGAATAAAACTACATACATCTGTGCTAGGAAGTGAACTCAGGCTAGGAAGTGAACTCAGGTAAATTTGCAAAAACGAGCAGTGCTAAACAAGCAGCACCACAGACAATAGTTAGAAAGTGGTGTCTAATCGGTGAACTTAAAGAGCTATTGTCGTTTACTGGTTCAAATAATCTATTTGTATGTGAATATTCCCCAAATTGCCTTTCCTCCGTTCGCGTGTCTAAATATATTTGCTTATATGTAAACAGATGTACATATGTATGTATGTATGTCCCTCAATATGCCTTTTGTAAAAAAATCAAACTCGCGCAAGCGACAAAAAAAATTGCAGACGCACCATCATTGACCAATAAGATTCAAGCAAACTCGCACCATATTTTCTAGGTATTCCATATTACAACGCCAACAAATTCATTCATAAGGAACGCGTGTACAAAACGAAGTTCGAAGATCGTTTATAACTCTGCGCAGTCTTTTTTCTGTGCGCCTGGTCAACCAAATTTGCTTTTCATTTGGAATTCCTACTACAAATGCACGAAAATGAAGTTTAAATAAAAATGAATGAAATTAAATTTGAATGCCTTCAGTAAAATAAAGAATCAGCAAAATTTCTATTTTAGAATTGAACTGAAAATCCTACAATCCTCTCGCATTTGTATGTTGCCCACAAGATGCTTCCTCACAATATTTGCTAAAAATCAGAAATTGAAGAATTTGTCTGATGTTCTCTTCAGAAAGGAGAATTGACAACATGGTCTATTAGCGATTTGAAATATTATTTTAATTTATTTTATATAATTCACTATATATGACATTAAATTATAAAATTTATATAAAATTGCCATTCATATGAAATCTTTAATTTTCAATAGCAAAACACTGCAAAAACGACAAACACGACGACATGTCTATTGAAACAAATTTTGTCAACTCCGCGACGATGCGCAAAATTCATCGTCAATATGTATGGGATCTCGTATGTATATGTGTTTGTCGGCAAAGTTGTCATTTGGTTTTTATCAACGTTTTGTCAGAACTTCATTTTTTGATCCGCCCCCTCTCCGCGCGAACTCGCCGCTACTTCCATGGCGTGCCATCATGGTCAGAGGCGTTTCAACGGAGGATTTATATTGTATTATCATATTGATTAATTTGTATTGAGAAATACTGATATCTTAGGGCTTAGTTACACAATATTATAATATTTACGTAAAAATATAAATACACATAAATGCATACTTATTTAAACGTTATTAAAAAAAATTCGATTAATAAAAATATATCTGAAATAATTTTGTGGCAGTGCGCCCTTACCCCTCCTGAGCCGCAAACATTAAATTTCACAACCGGGATGGTAGAGAAAGGCTTTTTGGGATTGGTTGTGAAAATTAGACAAGTGGCCCACCTTTAGGTGAAATCCTATATCTTACGAACTACTCGACCGATTTCAACCAAATATGGTTTGTTTGTGTTTAAATTCCTATTAGAACTGCAAACTTTTATTTTCCGTCTGATTCTTTCACTTTACGGTATACAAATCAAACATCAATAAAGTTATCAGAATAAAACTTTACACATATAGTGCCCTCGAGGTATTTTATCTTACGTCCAAATATTTTCGAAATCGCACTATAACTTGTGCCAAAAATTGGTAAAAGCAGGTCAACATGTATGTATATATTTGAGGTATGGAACACCCCAAAATTCAAAAAAAAGAAAAAAATGGTACACAACAAATCCGAAGCTACACCCACACGAGGAGGAGTTATTATTATTGTCTTATTTATTAAGTACATAAATTCACAAAATGGTTCAAATATTTTCTTCAAAACAACAAATAACAATGCCAGGTACGATGACGCTATTGGACGTTATCATACTTTCTTAGTTTTATTTATTTATATACTTCAAGAACACGGTTACCGTTTTGGTCCATTTGGGCCATTTTTTCTCTTGGGCCATTGATCCATCACTTTGTGAAATGCTCCATTTCGAATACAATGCTTTAGGCATTTTTTTGGGAAAGAGTAGGTTCCATAGAGAATAGATTGGGACAAGCAGCTCTCGGAGATTTGTGCGACTTTGGTTATAATGTATTTAGTTTTCCGCACAGTTCAGCCGCTGCCGAGCAAAAATTCTTTTAATTAAATTTAATAAAAACCAAATTAAGAAGCCGTTTAGAATTTAATACTTTAAATAATATAATAGTGGCCAAGGAACTTTGTCTTTCGAAGGGCCACCCTCTTTGCTTTTGGTCGGCAAAAGATTTTTTTAAATGTTCTTAAGATCTCTAAATTAAAAATACTTTATCCAACTTCTGTTTTGCTATGCATATTCACATTATATTCATACTATATTATACTTTAAATTTGTTTAGTGATAATATAGTTTAGAACAGAAGCCTCAAAAATATCTAATATTTGTTTTATAATATACATATGTGTGTATGTGTATAAAATGATACTAAATGTAATATGTGTAGCATATACCTGAAAGATGTACTAAATTAAAAATGTGAATGATCTGAAGTGAAATAAAAATAAAACGTGACATAAAAAATTAAAATTTAATTAATAATGTAAACGTATATTTCTTTTGTTTGTGAAAATATATATTTTATTTTTTTTCTCACTACACACCGAACAACAGACAGTTTTAATTAGTGCTGGCGTGTAAAGAGCGATTAAGATATATGTAAGTAAGAAATTCGGATAAGTAGTAAAGCGTTAAGTTGTTTGGATTAGAAATAAAAATAAGAGTATAGCCATTAAATTGGGACTATTATTTAACATTCCAGTGATCGAACTCAAGATTAAGTTACAAGACGATTTATCGAGAAATCCGTTACAATACGAATAAAAAACCCAACGAAGCGACGATATCAACGACATCAACTTGGAAACGACAATTAAAACGAGAATAGGGCCGATTGTTGCATTTTATTTCGCGTGTGATATAAACTCAAATGAGACATAAACTCAAATAAAGAGGGTAAAGTTAATATATTGAATTGATGTGGACAACGTCAACCAGTTATGGTCCGATTTTGACAACTTTTAGACTTGAGGCATACCTTGAATATATTCATTGGTGCTTGATTTGCATACTGAAAAGTGAAAGAATTATAATTACAAAAGTTTGATATTACAACACTTGTTATTAGTATATAATATTTGCTTCCATATGTCTTTACTCATTAATTAGATTTACGTAATATATCATAAATTTAGTAGAAATATTTCTGATATTTCATACATTTACTAATTGAAAGAGCTATATTACAAATTCAATTGAAAAGTAAGCTTGTTTCAGATCCCTATGAAAACATATACATAAATAAAATATATACTATTTGCAGAAAACATGGTCTAATTAGACTTTTTATATCCATTTTGTTGAAGATATAATTATATAGTACATATATATATCTATATACTCATTCGTATTAATATCTACTTATATTTAGGACAAATTGTCCATTTACAAACTTATGAACTGCATTTTTTATTTTGATTATTGTAATAAGAGAGAGTTAACAATTATTCCTCGCTGGTCAAATCTAATCAAATTTGTTGTCGTTATTATTGTGAAGGAAAAGTATGGCATCGATTAAAGTGCCAGTAAGCATAAACCTTTTATGCTGTTCATAAATTTGCTGCTTGACAGGTTTCTTAAAATTCATGTTCACAACACACGGCATGCACTGGTATATGGGTGCCAAACGTTTTAAGCTTCCATAAACATGTCCTAATTTATTCCACCATGAAAACGGCGATTCATCTAAATTTACGTAAACTTCTGTTCTGTAACGCTTCAGATCGTTTTCTATGTTGCAATCTTCTTGCGGCACAGATATCGGAGCAGGTTCGTCTTGAATATCGAAAAATATCTCCAAATCTAAAATAAAATATTAATTTAAATTGTAAATATATAAGCGGCTCTCAGAATTCACTAAATTATACTTGATTTTCTAGAAGTAGAAGTTGCTGGTTTATGTTCTATTGTATCCTTAGTCACTGTCACGGTGCCAACGTCTTGCTGATGCATTTGATTGTATTTACTGGTTAAGATCTGAATACACTTTCCAAGATTTTTAACGGTGGTTAATCGATGAAAACGTGGATCAAGCAAAGCTGCAATAGTCAAATGGTGATCAGCAATTACTCTAAGAAAAAATATCGTTAGCCTCGATGTATATTCCTTATTCGAAGTAAATATTCTTACACATTTTGAAGCTCATTGCTAATTGTTGTTTTTATGTTCGCCACCAATTCATCATCAGTATCGCTCAAAGCCAATTTTTTATTTACTATTTTGGAAGTTATAGGTGACAACATACTGCTGTGAGGAATTTCCTCACCTTTTAGCGTATCCAAAGTTATCTGTGAAAAATCAGTTTTTATTTGTGTGCTTAATGGACAAATGTTTTTTATTCATCATACGGCCAATATATTTAACGTATCCACAATGACTTTTGAAGATGACACCAATATGTCTACGTCCTCAGGCCACGATACAGTCTCGGAAAAAAATTTCAAAAGCTCATAAAAAGTCCAAGGGAATTCATCATTTATTGTAGGAATGTCTACATCCTATTAAAAATAGTTAAAAGTTACATATGTATGTATACACCTGCAATAAATGTTTTTTTCTTTTTTATACCTTTGAGCTTATCTCGGATCCATAGCGCATTATCATTTCTTTAACTTGATCAATAATTGAAACAACATCGGGCAAAGCAAATACCAATTTCAAACACTTGTCCACAGTGACATCGTAGGATAATATAATGGGAATATCTGTATAGAGAAATAAAAAAAGAGCTTTTTGTAAAATTATGTGGATGGGTCGATTATATCACTATTTGGTTGTTTTTGTGATAATATCTGTCGTATCCGACCAACTTCACCACCAATAGTTGTAGATTGTCATAATTTGTTGAAACTATAATATAGAGAACTAAAAAGTATTCATTTTGACTCGAAAATGGAGACGCTAACATTCTCAATTTGTGACAAACTAAGGTTTTCAAAATTCAACAATCAATAAACAAAGAGAAAACATACTTTTGTTTGATAATAATATATATACGTACTTTTGCTTTTCAAAAAGTGTTTAAGATAGTCATCATATTCATAGCTCACAATAGCTGCCGCACAATTCTCCAAATTGAATTCTTCAAATATTTCATCTATTGACGTGAACTTGTTATATTCTACTGTACAGTATAATTGGTTTAGTAGATTGTATTCTGGTGCATCTGTGGTATAGTTAAAATATATGGACATAAAGTGTTTGTTTTCAACATTCTTCCAAATTTCAAAGCCCAATGAATATGGCTTAATTTGTGAGTGCATTTTAATTTGACTTGAAAGTGTTGTTAGTTTATCGCTATGCAATTCTCGAATAAGCGCTTCAATCTAAAAATTAATAAATTATAGTTATATATATAAAAAAAAATTTGGATTTAAAATTTTTCAACCTTTTTATCAGATGGTAATTCCACGTTGCCGCAGAGTGTGCGTATGAATATTGACATACCCTGGTCATAGAGTGTATCCACATTGCGAACATCGTTAATGACCATATTTACCAATGCATCTTGCAATTGATATTGACTAACCATCTCTCCCATTTCCGACCGATAGTTAGGTCCCGAAGTATACTTTGCATCCATAGTTATTACTTCCATGGTACTATGCTCAGTTGTGTTATTCTTTGCTTTTAACCCATTACCTGATCCCGAAACTTCTACTTTGACAAAATGATCGTTATCAATAACATCATCGTCTTCGTATGTCATAGGAACCATTGTCTCATAGAGCATTGATGGTTCTTCTCCTTGTAAGCTTCCTGTGTTTGAGGTATCCTGAATGGTGTCTCTACACTCCATTTTAACCTTCTGTCGAAGAGGATCACGTTTTACGGTCATTCGACCGGGACCTGTACTACTGTTGCCAGCTTTTGTGAGTGGGCGACGTGGTGGAATTCTTATGCCATTTTCAATACAAATTTTTTGAAAAATATCCTTATGACGGTGTTGTAAATGAGCGCGCAAATTAGTTGTGTTTCCATGGTTTGTTAAAACCTTATGGCATAATGTGCAAACAACATTTTGTTTTGTGATGATGCGATCATGTTCATTAGTAGGAAATCCAAAATGCTGCCAATATACACTCTTCATCTTGGGGCTGTGAAGCTTTACAAACTTAAGATCTGATAGCTCTTGCGAGACCACCGTCATTCTTCCAGATTTTTGAAGTGGATCACTCATATTAATGTACAATCAATTACAATAATTTCTTTTGAATAACACAGTAAAAGTTATCTTTAGCAAAACAGAAAATTATTATATTACCAACGATATTAATATCGACAATAAAATCGACGCTGCGACACAGGGTTGCTAAACGGAATTTTAGCACATGTATCCATTGTCATTTATTGCGTTTTATATGACATTTTCAATTTTGTTTGACATTTTTCATATGACATGGATATTATAATTTGAACCTTATTTCGTTTGTTATTAAAAACCGAAGAACGAAAAAAAAACATACCTTTCAAAATTAGATATATGCCTGCGTAATCGAATAACAAAGTATATATAAGAACACAGGGATTAATATAATACTGAAGCTTTTTATAGAATTGTAAATATTAATGATTATAAGCATATCACCACGGAATAACATATATTTTACGAATTTGTAAAATAAAAAGTATATAATGAGAGGATCTAAGTTTTGATAACCCAATGCAACCCTGTTGAAATATATTGGAAGTGTTCAGAAGGTTTTAAATTCGAATTCATTTGAATTCGAAGTAACCATCAGGTGAAGTTGGCTGCACTTATTCTTTTTAATTCGTTGTTGGGTAGGAAAGGTTCGTAAAAAAGTGGGATTTCATATTTTGTAAAAAATATTCCTCCACATTCTATTAAATATGAAAAGAAATATTAATATATCTTCGATTTTACCATTATTCGTGAAAAATTAAATGAAAATGTGATTAAAGCTGTTTATTGGTCTATTTACAAAGATAATAATCAGCTCTATGCGCCACGTGGTGAACTGTTGTAGTCTGTCTAACCAAGAAAAATTGTTTTATTTATTATCTTATTGAATGACCCTGTGCTATTTTCTGGTTTTGTTTCTAGAAGACTAAACAGCAAAAATGGGTAAGGGAAATAATATGATTCCAAATGCTCACTTCCACAAGTGGTGGCAACGTAATGTGAAGACCTGGTTTAATCAGCCAGCACGCAAATACCGCAGACGTCAAAATCGCATCAAGAAAGCTAAGGCTGTTTTCCCACGTCCAGCACAAGCTTTACGCCCAGTAGTACGTTGTCCAACCATCCGTTATCATACGAAATTGCGCGCAGGACGCGGTTTTACACTGGAAGAATTGAAGGTATTGTGGATTATTTTAAAATTTTAAATATAAGTGGAATTAATCTCATATTTATTTTAGGGTGCCGGTCTGACTTATGGGTTTGCCAGAACTATTGGTATTGCCGTTGATAAGAGACGCAAGAACAAATCGCTTGAATCTCGTCAACGTAATGTTCAACGTTTAAAGGAATACAAGAGCAAATTGATTCTATTCCCCATAAACGAGAAGAAGATCCGCAAGGGCGAATCTACTGTTGAGGAATGCAAGTTGGCCACACAAATTAAGGGACCAGTCATGCCAATCAAGAAAGAACAACCAGTCATTGAATACCGAGAAATCGCTAAGGATGAACAGAAATTCAAGGCGTTTGCCACTTTGCGCAAGGTACGCCAGATTACTCATTCTATGTTTAAATTCTAAGGTATCTAATGATTTTGTTTGTAGGCTCGTTCTGACGCTCGTTTGGTTGGTATTCGGGCAAAGCGTGCCAAGGAGAATGCTGATAATGTTGACGATGCTGGTAAAGATGTAAAGAAATCCAAAAAGTAAATTTGTTTTACAAATTGAAATAAAATAATAATTTTTACATAATTATCTGAATTTATTTACCTTTAATTTAATAAAAATATATAGTATATATACCTAGCTCAGAACTATGAAAATAGAGCAGATTTCTAATGTTAGAACAACGGTTGTTGATCAAATATCGAATGAATTTGAATGGCTCCTTCGACATGGAAACGAATGTTTGTAATGTCATCAAAATGTGCATGATTTAGAAGAATTAAGAAAAGTTTATAAAAAAATCAATACATCGCTCGCCTTTTGTTCTAGGTTGGTACATTTTCATATATAATATAATTTTCTGAATTTTAATTTCGTCGTGGAGAACGTGTAGGGAACGAGCTGTTTCAGTTGTGTGGATAAGTGGGTGTTTAACCAGAGAACGGAAAAAAATTAAACTTTCTTTTAAGTTCTCTGGTGTAATCAAATCCTCCTGTTACTTTTAAAAGAAGTATTGTTTCATTAAAAATATAAATTAAATTTTTTAAAAAATGTATTTTTACAAAAAAATACACACCTCGTACATTTTCTTTCGTGTGGTAACTCCTTTTTACAAAGCGGCCTTTCTTCTAAACAATAATCCTGGTCGGTCGAAAATCGGGGTGTTCATAATTCATTCGCGGCGAACTCCTTTCCGCATTGGCCGCACTTCAAATAAATAACCCTGGTCGGTCCAACACCGGGGTGTCCAAAGTTCTTTTGCATCGAACTCCTTTCAGTACGCAATATAACTATGGAACTATGGTAGGCTTACACAATGGTTCGATCACTGGATTGTTAAATTAAAGTCCCAATTTAATGCTATACACTTATCTTTATTTTTAATTACAACACTTAACACTTATTGCACGCTATTCGAGTTTACAACTTATTGCTTATAGCTTAATTGCTCTTTACACGGCAACTACGAATTCGCTGTCTAGTTGGTTCTGGCAGTTTATCGTCGATTCTGATTTGTTCTGATATTCGTGTTCGCCACGCTGCCCCCAACCAACGTCAGATCGGCCCGATTAGACATATTTGCGGTACCAAACGCTGCAAGCCGTTCCAGATGAACTACCTTTATTTTATTCCTTGGTCTTCCAATGGTCAGTATGCGATACACTAGATCGGTGAGTCGTATAATAACCTGGTATGGTCCTTCCCAATAACATTGTAATTTGGGACACAGCCCTTTCTTCCGTTGTGGGTTATATAACAATACCCAATTGCCTTTAATTAAACCCTCAGAGTTCATTGCCTTGACATATTTTGCTTTCATTTTATCGCTCATAATTTTGGTGCGCTGACTCACTATAGCATGCATATCCCTCATCTCGTTGTTGTTGTTGTAACGGTTATCTAGTCCCCGATTGGGTGGTAAGTTCCAGTTTGGTTGTGGTCGAAGTCATCTAACGGGAGGCCTAGGAAACGAGTTGTTTGTTGTTAAAGTTTATTGCGTCCGAAGTCTCGTCGGTGTACTGTCCAATGTCGTCGACGTAATCAAGGAAGGGTCTCTTGATGTTCCTAGGAGGCGGTTCCGCTTCAAGCAGACGACTGCAGCGGTGGTTTCTACCAAAACACCCCAGCAGAAACTGCTTAGAGAGGAGCTCGTTATGTGTCTTGACCGGAAGCATAAGGGCCTAACTATGTAGGTGTTCGATTGGCGACATGAAGAGGCATCCCGTGATAGTCCGGAGTGCAGTGTTTTGACATGTCTGAAGCTTATTCGTCTTCGTTGCACCACATCCAGGCGACCATATTGGTGTTCTTGTACTGGCTGGTGTCACTTTCTGTCGTGTTCTGGCCTGCGCACCACACGAGAGTGGAGTGCGTCGTATGTTGCCCCATGCTGTAGGAGTCTGCCCCCGCAATCACATACAGTGGCGTCGCCAACCAACACCACAGTGCGACAACCGCCCATGCGGATAGTATAGCTGCAACAACCACCACCTACACGCACTCCACTCACCCCTAGGATCACGACCGAACACCCGCGACAAACGCGACTCCTACAATTCAACTGTAACGGACTCCAGAGCAAGATCGAGGAGATAGTTGCATTCATGATCATCTGCGGTCCAAGAAACCAAGTTAAACAGCCGCTCAGATCTTCTGAGTTGTGCAGGTTTCAACGTTTTACGTAAGGATCGCGAGCGGGATAATTGAGGAGGCCTAGCCTTCATATTGCACAACACCGTGCAATATCGTCTAATCGATGTTGACATCGACCGCAGGGACACCACCCTAGAATGTCAGGGTAGAAATATTTAATATATACATCCCCCCAGTTACATGTTGCCCAACAGGATATCACCCGAATATAGATGCGCTACTTCGTGGAGAAAGTGCTAGGCGACTTTAACGCGCATCACGATCTTTGGCATTCCTGCCTGTCAAACGATCGTAGGGGGATGGAGCTGGCGGAACAGATAGACGATTCGACATTCTGCACAATGAACGACGAAGCCCCCACCAGAACTATGGCCACCTGTAATAGCTCGCCAGATATTACCATCGCTAGCGGTGGTCTGATAAATAGTATAACCTGGCGACCTATGCTAACTCTTGCATCAGACCATCTGCCCATAATTATCTCGATCGAGAAACCTCCTGACTTTATTTCTGTGGATAACCGCACTTATGTTAACTTTAACAAAGCTAACTGGGTCGGCTTCACAGAATTTACTGAGAGCACCTTCAACGCACTATCCATTCCTACGGACGTCATCGTTGGCGAGCGTCAATTCCGCAAGGTGATCGCTGCTGCTACTGCTCGCTTCATACCGGCTGGAAGAATAGCGGAACTCCGCCCTAATTTCCCAGCCGAAGCAGCTGTATTAGCAAATGAGCGCGACATCTTACGCCATGCCGATCCCTGTGATCCCCGAATAAGGGATCTCAATTTGGAGATTCGGCAAATGGTAAATCATCATAAGCGGACAAAATGGATAGAGCACCTGAAGTCCTGCAACCTCTCCACCGGTGTGAGTAAGCTTCGGACTACTGTCAAGGCCCTGTGAAATCCGAGGAGACATGACGATCGGGTTGAAATTCAATTCGATGGCCATGCCTGCTCGGACCCGAAGAAGTGCGCGAGCTACTTTAGCCGGCAGTTTATACTGCACCCTTCGACCGACAAGGCCAAACGATGTGTTACCCGACGGCTGCGCAAAATGCCAAAAGACTGCGCACCATTTACTTTCACCGATGGGGAGGTTCAGAGTGTCATCAAAAAGGCGAAATCGTCTAAATCCATCGGCCCTGATGGAATAAGCATGCTGATGTTAAAACACCTAGGCCCACCGGGAGTAAACTACCTCGCCAAGGTTCTCAACCTGTCGATATCCACTCTTCAAATACCCGATGTGTGGAAAGTCGGAAGAGTGGTCCCACTGCTGAAACCTGGGAAACCCGCCAACAAAGGGGAGTCTTATCGCCCGATAACTCTCCTTTCCCCAGTAGTGAAGACACTTGAGGCCTTGTTACTCCCGCCATTCACCCACCACCTGAGCCTAGCAGACCATCAGCATGGCTTCCGTAAAGTGCACAGTACCACCACAGCACTTAGCGTCATAAACGCCCAGATAGTTCATGGGCTGAACCAGAAGCCACCCTGCGAGAGGACGATCCTCGTAGCGTTGGGCTTGTCAAAAGCTTTTGACACAGTCAATCACGCAACGCTACTTGAGGACCTGGAACAATCAACGCTCCCTCCAGGGCTGAAGCGGTAGACCATGAGCTACCTGAGCGGTCGGCACTCATCCGTACTATTTCGAGGTCAAAACTCCAAACTCAGGAAAATTAAACAGGGGGTTCCGCAGGGCGGTGTCCTCTCCCCGCTACTGTTTAATTTCTATATTTCAAAACTCCACCAGCGGGAATTTCAATGACCTCGTACGCAGATGACTGCACGATATTGACGTCGGGCAATGGAATCGATGGCATGTG